GTGTGTGTGTGTGTGTGTGTGTGTGTGTGTGTGTGTGTGTGTGTGTGTGTAAGTGGGCATCCCATCCACAGAGCATCTGTGATCTCAGCTCCCCTGAGGGAAGTCCCTGTCAGCTGGACATGTCTCCAACAGGACGATGAGATGAGGAAAACAAAGACTGAATCAGGCTCAGAGAGACCAGAATGTTTGATCTTCAGATGTTCCAGAAAACTCCAACAAATGGAGACGTTTACTAGAAACTGAAACTGAYAGACGACAAGACATCTGCTGAGGTACGAGCTGGAAAAGACCATCCAAATTCAGACACTTTTTCACAGTCTTCAAGGTCAACCAAAAGTCCCTGGTACCACTTAGACCGGGTAGACCGGGTCCTTGAATCATCAGAACTTATTCCTGATTGGATGAATCAGAACTGGTTCCTCATTGGATGAATCAGAACTGGTTCCTGGTTGGATGAATCATCAGAACTGGTTCCTGATTGGATGAATCAGAACTGGTTCCTGATTGGATGAATCATCAGAACTGGTTCCTGATTGGATGAATCATCAGAACTGGTTCCTGATTGGATGAATCATCAGAACTGGTTCCTGATTGGATGAATCATCAGAACTGGTTCCTGATTGGATGAATCATCAGAACTGTTCCTGACTGGATGAAAGGGTTCTTCCTAAATTTGGTAAACTTGATCATCACGTATTCATTCAGAGAAACCTCTAAACATAGTGATAGTGGTCTTGGTGGACCAGGATAGTGCATAGTGTCTGGCATTATGTTTTAACTAAATAAAGATACTGAAGTTCTGCAGGTATCTGGTGTTGTGTGACATCAAAGCAGTAAGTAAATAAAGTTTGACTCTGAGTGACTTCAGACACTGAGTCATTCAGTAAATGACGGAGCAGGAGGAGAGTAAATCATGGGTCTMCAGAGGAGTCTGTTTGAACCCAGTCGGGCTGTTTAACTGCACAGTAAAAAAACATCTTTATATATTTCACCCTGTTTAGTTTCCAATCCAACCTAATGCGTTTACACCGCGGCAGTAAAGACTGCAGGTGATAATTAAAAGACTCAATAAACAAACTGCTCTGCTGGCTGCCGGCCTCGGCCATCGATCCACTCCTGGTAATACAGGTGATACAGGAGGGGCTTTAGCAGACATTATCAGGACCTGATGGATGCTTTTAGAGAACAAACTGGACTCTGTTACTTAGAGAGGTCCAGTTATTACACACATCATACTACATGTCTATATTCTAATAATAAATCCGATTTTGAACACATTACCCTGGTTTGAAGCGGCTCAGTTCTCCAGCTGTGGCCTTATCAGGACAGGAGTGTCGCCTCAATCTTTTCCATGAAGCAAGTCGACCAGAACTGGATGAAATGGGCTGAGAGAGACCGGGTGGGTGACCGAGGAGAAGGTAATCACAGACAGATACAGAGAGCAGCCAGCAGCAGGTGGAGGAAGAGCAAAGAAACAGAGTGATTTCCAAATGCAGCGTGTCTATTTGATGAGGATTCAGCAAACAGACTCCTGACCACAGACCGAACAAATACTGAGCCCTGCAGGCTGACACACACCCCGATGGCTGCTTCTGGTTCTGGTTCTGGTTCTGACTGTTCACTGAGGGCTTTAACCAGAGCCCCTCTGGAGGGTGGGCAGGTTCAGCCTCTGCTTTAGTACGAAGGACTCTGCTTCTTTCTTAAAGCTGATGTAGAGTCAGCTGAAGACCATTATTTCCCTGTTCAGAACGTGAGAGTGGAGCTGTTACCCCATACTAAATAAACACAAACAAACAAATAAACAATAAACAGTAACGTTGGCTCCACAGTAAATACCTGCAGCCTGATAAAAACATAAAACTCCAGCTGTTCCTCTCATCAACATTTCAACATCCAGGATCAAAAACCCACAAACATAAAAACCARAACCGTCTCTAGTAAAAACCCGAAGCTGAACATTAATAATTACAGCTCAGTGCAGCCGCCTCATCGCCCTGATGTCTTTAAAGACTAAATGTCAGCAGCATCCTGAGCCAGTCCTGAGTCCATGAAACACTGGAGACCAAGTCCAGCTCCAGTCTGAAGTCAGGTCAGAACCAAGTGTCTGGAACCAAAATCAAAGGTGTGAGAAGTCCTGCAGTGATGTGCTGCAGCCAACACACACACACACACACACACACACACACACACACACACACACACACACACACACACACACA